AGGCTTCCAACCTGTGAATATGAAATGTTATTCAATTTATTGATGTTGACAGCAACAAAAAACTCTTAGAAATAATAAATATGTTCAATAAAGTTGCAATATATAAAATTAATTTACGAAATTATTTTTGTTTCTATGCACTAACAACACTCTAATTGTGAATTTAAAAATAAAATTAAGATGGCCAGGAGGTGACATGGTGATTAAGGTGCTGGACTTGGCCAACCGTGGTATAAGTCCTGGACCTGGCAGCTTGCTTTTTCATTTTCCCTCTCTCTCTCTGTCTCTGGTGAGTGCATGTACTCTAGCAAATTAAAAATAATACTACTAACAGTATATCAATTTTAATTCTTTAAAAATATGAAATTAAGAAAGTATTCCTATTTACAATAGCATCAGATAGAGTAAAATGCTTAGTAATAAACTTAACCAAAAAATCAAAAGACTTGTACACTGAAAACTACAAGACATTGCTGACTCCTTTTAACAAAACTTGATCTTTCTTCCAAAGACCCTGCTAGGTCATGGACAGAATAATCCAGTATATAAATTCAAACCAACTTATAAAAGTCTTACTGGTTTATCATTCCCACATACTGACGAGAAATATTTTACCAAAGGTACAGAAAATCGCTGTCCTGTAGGTGAAATCTTCTGGAATAAATAAAAATTTTGTAAACTGTAACATTTGTTTGTTCTATCTAGCACAAAGTTAGCCTTTTTTTCATCTTTTTTTTAAAATTTTTTTTTTTTTTGAGAGGTTTTTGCTATAGGGCATGTGCGCTCGCCAGAAAGACAGAGAGAGACAGAGAGACAGAAAGTGAGAAATCACCCCCCTCAGGGAGGATGGTCACGCCGCAATTCCTTTTCCTTCATTCTCCACTTGGGATCTTGGGCACACATGCACACACGCCCAGTGTGAGTTTGAGCCACCGGGTCAGGGACTCGAACCGCAGTCTACTACATGGGAGTCCAGTGACATAGCCATTACATCAACTGCTGGTCCCAAGCTAGCCTTTTTTTATGTGTGTGGAATAGCATTTGTACAAAATCATATACATATCAGATATGAATGCAAATAGCTATTATTGAAAAACCTCTCTGAAATTTTAACGTAATTCACATCATTTCAGAAGACATAGTTTCAGATTTCCCCACATGGCATATATAACACAACTCTACAGTGAGTCTGGGTAAATATAATATAGAAGGAAGTGCAATAAGACGGGAATGGAGCTTTTTTGGTTATTTTCTATGTGCTAGATGATTTGCCTGCATTAATTTAATCCTCTTTCAAATTCTTTGAGGTAGGTGCTTCTCTTATTTTAAAGATTTGGACATTAAGGCTCAGGGAAGTGGTGTCCACATTCACTCTCTCTGTGAGCCTGGATTTGCAACTGGATCCACTTCTCTTGAAGCCAGTTCTTTTCCCGTTACATCTCAGGCAGCCAGGCAAGGCCTTGACAGAGTACAGAGGAGGATGAGGAGATATGAAACTGGAGTGGAGCCTATAAGTTACATGATGCTCTGCACGGGAAGGTGTCCTGGGACGGGTGATATCCCTGAAGAAGAAAGTTCTCAGTAATCCTTAAATGTATAGCCACAAATAGGTTAAAGTCATGATGAAAATAATCTCGTGGGTTGTGTCACTGTTTTCAGCTGCATCTTGTGGTCTTCAAGATCATGAAAGATCATGAATAGGCCCTCTTGTGCAGAGCCTGGGGTCCTGAGGGTGACTACATAAGCAGGAAGTCGGGCCTCCATATGATTTTTCTCTGGTTCCTGGGACATGCTATCCTGGTCATCACGGAAGGCCCTAATCTATGTGCCCTTTTTTTTTTTTTAATTGTAGATACAATCACTTCAGTTTGATAAAAAGAGCATTTCTTTCTCTAGTCACTGAGCCCTGTAGGTTTCTTGGTTGTATGCAGAGAGCTTGGCTGGGTCAGACTTGAAGGTGTGAGTGTTCAAAGATCCTGTTGTTTTTCCTTGATGGGCCCTTGGTGATGTTTTTTCTGCTCTCCTGGGAACATCTGCACACTTGATTCTCTACATTTTTCAGCTCATGATATATTTATTATTGTTACTTTTATTGCCAGAGGGTGTGTGCATTTGAGAGAGAGAGAGAGTGAGAGAGAACACATGTGCACTCCCCTTCAGTTGAGTGGGGTCATGCAATGGTCCTATTTCCTCCATTTTTTCTTCCTATCAGGATTTTGGGCATGCATGCACATGCACCCAGCGTGTTTTTCAAGTCATCGGGCAGGACTTGAACAGTGGTCAGCCATGTGGGATCTGATCCCAATGTACAGCACTTAACCACTGTGGGGCTGACCCCCATGATGTATTTATATATATTTAACCAAGGCCAGCCTTATGCCTTAACATGACAATTAGTAGGAGACTTTTTTAAAAAATGTAAAGGTGATTAAATTCATTTAGGAGTGAAAAGTATGAAAGACTAGGACCCTAAAGGCTTTTGTAATTGGCATGAAAATGTGGCAGGGACCAAGTCTGGTGGCATTACCTGGTTTCTATGGCTGTTGGTTTATTAAAACTAGATCTGGGGACAGCAGGTGGTGTGGTGGTTAAGGCACTGGACATTCCCATATGGCTGACCATGGTTTGAGTCCTGGACCTGGTGGCTTGCTTTCTCACTTTCCTTCTCTCTGTGTGCCTGTCTTTCTTTGGTCAAATTAAGATAAATGAATGAATAAATAAAACTAAATAATTCTTTTAAGAAGACCCTAGATCAAAAAAAATGTGATAATCTTTTGTCCCAATTGCTGGTCCTTCCACTAGGCTAAAACTCCAGTTGGCAGCCCTTATGAAGGGCTTTTCCTAGTTCTTTTTACCCCACTGCGTCCCTAGAATAGATATCTCAACCAACCGTGGCTGCTCCAAAGACTCCTAGAACCACCAGGGACACTGATGTTTTCTCATCTCTGTCATTCCCTGCAAAACCCTTCCCTGCCTTGTTCCTTTCTCACACACAATGGCCAGTCACCCCATAAATGAGCCTCACAGAGGGTAAAAGAAAGAAGCCCAGAGGGCTTCCGGTGGGCAGAGTGATGATGCAGGACAGAAGCCAGCCCTGAGCGTGGTTTAGTCTGTCCTGGCATCCTCGGCCCTCATCCTGTCCTAGTGAAAACTTCTCAGCTTCTCATATTGCTGCTTTAGGTGGGTGTTTTAATTATTCTAACTTGAGAGTAGACAGATTATAGTTTTCGAAGCCTCTCCTCCCTTCGTTTCTTTCAGCGAAGAAGACACTACACACGTATATCCCGTCCCACCCACGGTTCTATTTGGCACCTGGTGACCATCAGGAAAACCTGATAAAACTTGAAAGGGTCTCCTCCCGATCACCTTCCGAGCTGAAGTGGTTTCACGCTAACTTGATCCATGGGATTTAAGAAAGGGAGAGTGTGCTCCCAGGCACAAACAGGAAAGCCTGACATCACGGAGCGGCGTGGGGAGGAGTCTGCTCCTCGCTGCTGCTCGCTCGCCGCGCTCCCTTTGTGGCCGGAGTCGCGCGCACCGGCGGCGGCGAGGGCAGCAGGCGCGTGTCTGTGCGCGGCGGCCGCAAACGACCGGGACCCGGCGGGAGGCGCCGCGGGG